ACACACACACACACACACACACACACACACACACACACACACACACACACAGAGATACACGTAAGAATATACGCGTACATGCATGCCCTTGTGTCTATCTTCGAGGGTCGTGTGCTTGCTGGTTTGACATTGTATAAGTTTCCAAAAGTTTGCAAAATTAATTAAGATAAGAAATATTATAGATAATGTTCTACAATTAATAAAGGTAAGGTAAATAATAGATAATGTCCTTCATCCTCGCTTCTTGCCTCTTCTTACTCTCTTTCACTTCGCTGTTGTTTTCGGTGTAGAGATTAGGTACCTGTGCCGTTGTTTGCGAAAGACGTCAGTTCGATTCCCCATATGGGAATGTGGTTTTTTTTCCCTCTTGCACCTCTGTCCGTTGTGGTGTTGTATCCCTCTCAGTTCGGGTTGGCCCTGGCAGGCAAGGTCGAAGCAACTCGCCTCCTAATTAAAGGTCTAAATAATGTCAATAGGGGTGTAAAAACATGTTTTTTTCTTTCTCCACTGAGATAGAGAATTTGTTTGGTCCACCTCAAGCTCAGTAATTAATTAATTAGCAGACTCCAATGTCATCCAGGTAAACTTCATTTGAGTCTTTAACAAAGACGTTATAAATAGTACCTCTTTGGTCCTCAAAGTACATTCTTAAACTTTGCTTTGGGTTATTTGCAGTCTAATACAGCTTTCTGCAAAGTTCTTTGCTGTTAATTAAGCCATTCATTAATCTTTTCTTTTCATATCCTTGAATATACAGGATAATTTTTAAAAAACTGTACAACTATTTTCTGAATATCTCAAACAAAAGTTGTGCTAGAACGTTGCAATTTGGAACAGACATAATTCGTCCAAAAGGAATTTGTTTGACATAAAATCCACGAAGAAGAGACTTACTTTGAAAACGGAAATGGCTTTAAAGAAAAAAAAGCATCCAAAAAGGCAAAGTTCACCAACTTTTAAAAATCTTATAAAAGTAGTCGTGAAAAGATTGGTTGACTTTTTTCTTTATTTTCTCTTTGACATTTAT